ACCTAATGGGATTAAGGAATCCAAAACTCTGAGGGTGGAGTCTGGCAATGCTGTTTTAACAGAAAACCCTCCAGGTGATTCTAATGCCCATAAAAGTTTGAGAAGCACTGAGATTTCCCTTCTGTAGCTTGAGAATTATATCCATCATTGGTCTAGTGGATCAGCTAAACCATAAAGACGGAGGTGATCAGCTGCACCAGACTTGATAGGACTATAAAAGAATCTTTCCCACCCTCACAGAGTTACTTACAGACATGAAGCAAGTACCAAACAATTTGAGTTAGCACACAATTCCATGTTGCATCATATAGTTCAGACGCAGAGGGGGAGCCATGTGGCTGCTACATATGGTGAACAGAGATCAATCAGCCGATTATAATTCAGGTGAGCAGAGAAAATGCATACTCTAATACCACTTCAAATAATGCAGAGGATCTGTGGTTTGCCCACAACTCTAGCAGCCAACAGCCAACGGCTGGCCTGATGCTAATCCCTTGGAAATGGGGTGGCTCTTGGAGAAAAGCATAAAGGACCTAGAATAAAAAATAAAAAAAAGCTTGAAACTTAGAATCACAAACAGTTCCAGATTCTACACATAATTGCCTTTGGCTGCAAACCAAAGGCTTGCGTGCTCGGGGTGGGAAGTACTTTTGGTCATGCATCAAGCCATACTTGTGCCCACAGATAGTGATCTGCACATTAAAGAATTCCAATGACAGGATCTGGGCAGATGGCTGCGCAGACCAGTCAGTGTGGGAGATAAGAGAGTTGCCTTTGGACTTGGCCCAAGCACAAAGGATTGAGGTGTCACACTTGGTCATTCCTTGAGTGCCTTCTGTATATAGAATATTGGTTGGATATTAAAACAGTTGGTAGTTCAAACAGTCCCCACTTTTGAGAAGTTCAGAAACCATCCTAGAAATGCCAAAAACAACAGATAAACAAATAAAAGAACACAAGAGCAGAAACTATGTAAATACAGACTGCCTTAATTGAGCAGAGTTAACCAAGGAGTGACTAGAACCAGATACTGTCAGCAAAGGAAAACACAAATAAAATATAGGAAATTAGCAGCGGGTGAAGATCTAATTTTAAAGGCAAGGGAAATAGAATGAATGATGGTTGAAGGCATGAGGGACAGAGAATATAAAGAAGATCAAGGGCATCTATTTGCTTAAGAATAAAAACATAGACCACTTTGTAAGGAGGGGCGGGAAGGTCATTGAGTAGGAGCCTGAGAGCTGTTATCGAGAAGTTTTGCTGTTTCTTTAAAGTGTACATTTAGAGGTAGATACAGAATTCTGGGTATAATGTTCGTATGATAGAAATTATACCTGAGATTGACTCTCTGGTGGACCAGTGCTGAGGGGGTTGTGGTTGTTGAGTTAAAGGCAAAGGAGGGAAGACTAAAGAAACATCGCAGAGGACCATGGGAAGGACAGAGTGGAAAAAGAACCATCCCCCAGGCTGTCCCAGGCTACCATCATCCTGACCCTGGGTGATTGCTGCAGCCACCGTCTTCCAGCCAGATCTTCACACACACACACTGCTTTTCAAACACACCAAGCAGCTCCTATCTCTTTTGTGTCCCTATATGGAAGTGTCTTTTCCCAGATTGACACCCTCTCCCCTCTGCTAAGTTCTTTTGGTTCTCTGCTTAAATGTCCCATTATTAGAGAGACCATCCCTAAATAGCCTATCTGAAACAGGACCCCACTGCCATCACTACCCCAGCTCTCTCAGTCCCCTCACCTGCTTTATCTTCCTTCTGAGCACTTAGCGCTGTCTCGTGTGTGTCTATTTATTTTTTCACTAATGATCTGGCTTCTCTCTCCAGAGTGGAAGCCCCTCTTGATTTCTGTTCGCTGTTCTAGCCATAGCATGCATAGCAGGCTTTCCATCATGGTTGTTGAATGAATGAATAAGTGAATGAATGAAGAGTACATGAATAGATCATTTTGGCACTTGTGTTGCAATGTCTTTCAAAATATGTTGACATTTCAGTTCTCTTTGACTCATCTCAAGTTCCCCTCTAACTTTGGACTTCATTCACCCAACCCTTAGAGTTCGGTGATTCTGTCTGCAAATGGGCAGGGTTCCCTATGGATTGTCCCAAACAGTAGTGACTGGTATAGCCAGTCAGAATGCACAACATCCATGGTTTTATGCATTTTTCTGTCAGAAGCAAGGCTCGGCAGTTGTACAACCAAAATAAAATAATGAGCAATTAAAATGGTAGCACCCCAATGTCTGGAAGATTTTCATTTGGGCTCCCATGGGTGAGAGTCTTACTTCCACTTTTCTTTTCTAAGACTCTTGACCAGCGCAGAACTTTCATCCTTCCTCCTGCACAATCCCAGCTCAGGGCTACTTCACTTTTTAAAAAATTAACATTTTGCAATTCCCCAGTAATAAAGATGATGATGATGATGATGATATGGTGATGATGATGGTGATGATGATGATGGTATGATGATTATGGTGATAATCAGGATGATGTAGATGATGATGGTGAAGGTGATTATAGTGATGATAGTGACAATGATGATGGTGATAATTAGGATGGTGATGGTGAAGGTGGTGATGATGATGGTGATAATGATGATGATGGGTGGAATTACATTATTTCTCTACCCATTTAAATTCCCTAGTAGATGCAGTTTTGTCAGTCAGCAACATTTATTAACCATCATATACAGTACAGTATGCCAGGTGCCGAGGGAAATAATAAAGGTTTGTGTTATAAAGTAATTACCTTGGCTGTGGAAAACACTCAATAAATACGTGTTGAGTGATTCATTATTGAACCCTTTGGTTTCTGTATTCACACCCTTATGCAGTTCTTCTTCTGCTCATATTTATTCGAAATCCAAGGCATATTTTATAAAAACTTTCACTACAACCCAATGAAAAGAACTAGTGGCACAAATTAGGAATAAAAGAGGAACTGGATAATATAAGAAACATAGACCTATTTCACTTGAAAGCACAAAATAGCTGGGAAATAGGTTTACTCTCACCAAAAAGAACATTTTGGGAATATAGCAACACAACAAAAAAGTAAAGAGGTATCTGGTCCCTTTGTATAGTCAAGTGCCCTGTAAACTCACCTTATTTAGACTCTGTGATCCTTCAAGCAAGCTTGAGTTGAACTGTATTCTTGTCCCATATAGATTTTAATGAGTTTTGTGAAAGGACAAATGATTTAAACGAGAGTTCAAGCAAATAATCAAGCTACTTAAGGGAAAGTGGTGCCAGTGCTGGCTATCTCATATGCCTTCTTTCTTTCCTCTTTACTAAGAGAGACCATATTTTGTGTAGGGCAGCAGTTTAGTCTAAAAACAATCAAACAAAAGAAAAGCATTCTTTCTAGAATCATGACAGGCCAGAAGGTTGTGTCTCTCAACAGGGGGCCAATGAGAGTCAAGTGAAAAGGGATAGGGCTGCTTCCCGGTGAACGGGGCCAAACTGCTGGCAGGCACCTTATGTTCTCACCCCTCACTTCTCCTTGTCTGGAAGGTAGATACAGTAGCTGGAGGTTCAAGCAGCCATCTTTCAACCATGAGGGTGCCAAGCACATGGCAAGAATGGTGAGCTAGGAGTTGGCAATAGCATGCGCTCCAGCTGGCTGCCTCCAGTGGCTATACCAGCCCTGAACTAGCACCTCAGATTTGCAGAAGCCACTGTGGTCTGGTTTCTGTTATGTGCAGCCCAGCCCAACCCTCACTGACAGAGAACCTTCTGAAGGACTCGTGTATATGTGCAGTTGTATGCAGACGTTACAGACACACCATACAGAATTCTTTTTTTCTGTCCAGTTGCATGTTAGAGCCTTAATCACTCAATTAGCCTATCTCATATCTCTTGATTCATTGCACAGTGTTGCTTCTTAAAAATAGTATAAAATCAAAAATTGTTCACAGACATACCCCATTCGTAATCGTGGGGTTATTTTCATCTTAGAATCTAAGTATCATTGTTTTAGTTACCTATCAAAATCTAGGATGTGGCCCTAACTGGTTTGGCTCAGTGGATAGAGCGTCGGCCTGCAGGCTAAAGGGACCCACGTTCGATTCCAGTAAAGGGCATGTACCTTGGTTTCGGGCACATCCCCTGAAGGGGGTGTGCATGAGGCAGCTGATTGATGTTTCTCCTTCATCAGCGTTTCTAACCCTCTATCCCTGTCCCTTCCTCTCCGTAAAAAATCAATAAAATATACTTTTTTTAAAAAAAATCTAGGATGTGGACAACTGGAGAAAGAGGCATATATCTTAGTGTGTAAGCTCACAGGTTTCATAGTCATACAAACTCCTCCACTCCTTACAGGCTTTATGACCCTGAGCTGGTTACTCCACCTCTTTGCTTTCTCCGAGCCATCCCATGAACCCTGTGCTTCCACACCCATCCCAGCAGTCCCCCACCACCCCGGGGCCACCACTTTACTTGTCTTTCTCCCCAGCTGATCTGGGAGCGTTTTAAAACTGGGGCCAGCGTTTTCCCCTAGCCTCTCCTCCCAGCATCTCACACAGTGCCTGCCACGGGAGGGTGTTGCCTGAGTGTTTGTTGAATGTTGAAGTAAACAGTTCTGAACCCATCACTGATGAACCGGCTTTCTGAACGTGGCCTTGGCCTCGCAAAGGAGTTCAGAAAACAGCATCTGAAACTCTGATAGGAAGCTGGCCTGCCCCACCAGGAAGTCCTTCATGGAACCAGGATGCTGATGGAATCTCGAGTGGAAGGCAAGGGGCCTGCCCAGTCTGTGTCATTGCTTCTGAGCTCAACACACGGGAGGTGAAGAGGCCACTCCGTGGAGTGCAACATCAGTGATCCCTGGGACCCGAGTCCCTTGCATTCCTCAGCATTAGCTTCCTTCCTCCCCATCATCGAGGACTCTGTGCCTCAGACCGGATGGTGTAGAGCAGAGTGAGGTGGGACTCCCTTCCCTGCACAGAACGGCAGGACCAGCATCAGGAGCTGTGCCTCATGAGCACCCAGGGCCGTCAGATGGGAAGTGCGGCAGACAGAGCAGGGAGGGTGACCGTGCCTCTCCCAGCAGCATGAGCGACGGCCTCTAGGGGACAAGCACCCACACGCAGCGGTGAGTCAGAGAATCCAGCAGCAGATGGAACACCCACTGTGTTTAAAAACAAAACACAAAAGCCACGGCTCCTCCAGGAACCCAGAGGGAAAGAGGTCCCCGGAGATGGAATCGGAGCGGCCTGGTTAGGACTTTCCCAGCAGGCCCCGTGCGGTTCACCTCCAGGTACCGGCTTCCAGCAGCCTTGCAAGGTGCGTGCGGCTCTTCTCTCCATCCACCGATGTGGAAACCGAGGCCCCGAGAGATGAAGCAGCCTGTCCGAGGTTGTACAGGTAGAGAGAGAAGGTCCCTGGATTTTCCCCTTGGTCTGTGATCCCAAAGCTACCACCTCAAAGAGCTTAATGTCTAATGGGAAACACACTCACATATACAGACACGTATCCACTCATCTATATGCACACATGTTCTCACATACATATCTATATGGACACATACTTACACACACATAAACACAGACTACTTGTGCACAAACTTACATGCATACATACTCACCTGCACATGCACACACATGGCATCCAGCATAGGGCTGCCTTCCCCTGCCCCTCCCGCTCCTCCTAAAAGTCCTGGGAGTTCGCCAAGGACTCACCTTCGCAGAAAACACAATATTTTTAAAGGCTCCTCAAAGAGCAGAGGCCTGGAAAGGCTTTTCAGAGCATGCAGTGACGTTCCTGTCTGGAGATTTTTATTTATTTTTTTAAATATGTTTTTATTTATTTCAAAGAGAGGAAAGGAGGAGAGAGAGAGAGAGAGAGAGAGAGAGAGAGAGAGAGAGAGAGAGAGAGAGAGAGAGAGAGAGAGAGAAAGGAACTTCAGTGATGAGAGAGAATCATCCACGGGCTGCCTCCTGCACATCCGCTACTGGGGTCGAGTCTGCAACCTGAGCATGTGCCCTGACTGGGAGAACTGGTGACCTCTTGGTTCCTGGGTCAGTACTCAACTGCTGAGCCAGCCCAGCCAGGTTGTGTGTATCTTTTTAATGATCAGTGAGGATATCTCACTGTTGACCCCTTGAAAACAGTTTGGGATCCACGGAAGTTGCTGGTCTCTGGTTGGTTTTGTTAAAAGCCAATCAGATGGCCCTGACTGGTTTGGCTCAGTGGATAGAGCGTCAGCCTGCAGACTGAAAGGTCTCAAGTTCGATTCCAGTTAAGGGCATGTACCTTGGCTGCGGGCACATCCCCAGTAGGGGGTGTGCAGGAGGCAGCTGATGGATGTTTCTCTCTCATCAATGTTTCTAATGCTTTATCCCTCTCCCTTCCTCTCTGTAAAAATGCAATAATATATATATATTTTTTTAAAAAGCCAATCAGATGAATGCAGAGACCTGACCTTCTAGTTCACACTTTAAAAAAAGAAAAAGAAAAATACATCCCATCCCCTCCTTTGGGATTCCCCCTCCTCCCCCCTTATCTTTTTGATACAAAGAGGACTTACTCCTTTTGTTACACATGACATCACAGACCGTGAGCGGATGGATAATCCTTCCAAAGCTTCTGTTTGAAGCGGTTCCCTTAAAGATGGGTTGTGCTCAAGACTGTTTTCCAGGTTCTGAGATCCTTTCCACGTTTCTTTTCTTTCCCACAGCCAGCCCCAGGAAAAAAAAAGAAAAAAAGAAAAAAAAATGGACTGTGGGTCAGGTAATGTAAGCAACAGACCATGAGATGATTGCCAAAAATGTAACCACCCAATCGGCTCCAAAGGAAAATATTCATTAAAGTGACACATGTTAATAGGATCGAATTCAAAACACGTGTTTGGACACGCAGATGTCGGAAAGTGCCATATCCTGATTAGCTGAACTGGTGCTTTCAGATCTTCCTTCCTTATTTTGATTGCAAGTCAAGTTTCGGGGAAATTCTTTCCCACTACTGTCTACTGATCACATCCCTAAAGCATTCAGAAATCTCCCTCGTTTCCTATAAGAAGAGATGGAAAGCACAACCGCAAATATTTATGTAAATGTCACCATGTATTATTTGGAAGCTTTGTTCCGTTGGTTAGGGAATTATGGCAGCAAATTCTAGCTGGACTCCGTTCAAACCCTCCCTCCACGGAACACGCACACCCAGACACACCCACACACTGGCTCCCGGCTCGTCCCAAGTGGGAAGGATTGACCATTTCTCTGACCCTCTGCCTTACCTCTGTGGCCCTGATAACAGCCAAACCCTCTGGATGATGAGATGTGCTTTGAAAGCTACAAGGTCCATGTTTCTTTCTTATTTTTTCAATTTTATTTTATTGTTTAAAGTATTACACGCAGTAGTACATATATCTCCTTTCTTCCCCCAATGACCTTCCTCCAGCCTCCCCTACCCCTGTTATATGCCCTCATCTCCCCCCCCCCCCAGGGTCTTGTATCCATTGGTTGTGCTTATGTGTATGCATACTTTTTTCATTTTTTTAAACAAACACGTTTTATTTTATTTATTTACGTATTTAATATATTTTTATTGATTTCAGAGAGGAAGGGAGAAGGAGAGAGAGAGAAACATCAATGATGAGAGTGAATCATGGATCGGGTGCCTCCTGCACGCCCCCTACTGGGGATTGAACCCAGGACCCTTCAGTCCACAGGCCACTCTTTCCACTGAGCCAAACCAGCTAGGGCAAGCACATGTTTCTTATGACTGATTCCAAGCCCAGGAGGAGAGGAAAATGAGAGAGAGAGAGATTCTCACCTGCAGAAGGCAAACAACCAGACAGAGAGGACAAGACAGAAGGCACCTTCAGAAGGCAGCCGGCCTGTTGAGCATCCTCGCTTATCACTCAACTGAAAAGGAAGGAGAGAGTGAGGCAGCAATATTTAGCTTTAACTCTTTCCTTGAATGCTCTGGAGCCCCTGCTCAGAGTTGTATTTTTACAGAGTTAGATCACAAATGGGACCCAGCTCGCTGTTCAGTCATTTGTCACCAAATTGCAAGAATGCGGTGTCCTAGCATGGAAAGAATGTCATGCCTTAAACATTTATTTCTGGCCGTGTCTTTCCCAGCCTTGAGATCAAAACTTCAGCTGGTAGATAAGCAGGGTTCATGAACCACTCCTGCCACCCACTCCTTACTTCCCCTGACAGACAGTGCCCCGCATGCCCTGCCTGGCACATTCTTCTCCATGTTTTTGCCTGGCCTGGCCAGGGCAGCAATGATCTTGAACCTCAGTTATGTTTACACAAGAAGTCTCCCTCGAATTTTCTCAGACCCATTCATCCCTTGGGTAGGACCAAGATTCCTCTTCCTGGTGTTTCTAGGGGGAAAAAAAAGTTCTGTATTTTATGAACTGAATAAATATTGGCCATTTCTCCAGGTCTATCTTTCTCCCTCATGGCTTTCTCTGTATGACATGTGTGTGTATATGGAGACAGGATGGGGACAGCAAGAAGGGTCTGATCAATTTCCCAAGCGTTCAGGTGCTAGACTGAGTTCTCTTTGGGCAACACCACAAAAGGCTGGAATTGGCTGACTTCCAGAAGACCTGTGCCTCAGGGGTGATTCACCACATCGGAATCAACAGTTCCTTGCCCAATAAGTAAAAGCTCTGGGCCCTATATGGTCCAAGGCAGTTGCACTTATCCAGAGAAAAATCTAGATTGGCGATCTCTCTACATTCTGTCTTTTAATACTGTGTCTGTCTATCTGTGCTCAGAACCAGCACTGACCACAGGAATTCTGTCCACCTATTGGCCATTGGATTTTTCCCAAATTAAAAGTAAAAGAAAAAAAGATAAAAGCAGCCCTAGCCAGTTTGGCTCAGTGGATAGAGTGTTGGCCTGCAGACTGAAGGGTCTCAGGTTTGATTCTGGTCAAGTGTACATGCCTAGGTTTCAGGCTCCATCCCCAGTAGGGACATGCAGGTGGAAACCGATCAATGATTCTCTCTTGCCCTAGCTGGTTTGGCTCAGTGGATAGAGTGTCGGCCTGCAGACTGAAGGTTTGATTCTGATCAAGGGCATATGCCAGGGTTGTGGGCTTGATCCCCAGTCGGGGGTATGCAGGAGGCAGCCGATCAATGATTCTCTCTCATCATTGATGTTTCTATCTCTCCCTTTCGGTTGCTCTCTGAAATCAATAAAACTTAAAAAAAAAAAAAAAAAGATAAAAGCAATATTGTTAATAATGAGCAAGAAAACATTGGCTAAAATGAATGACATCTGGATCCAAATCAAGAGTTAATGAAATTCATTCCTATTCACACCTAAGCAGTGTGCACTGCTTTGTTCTAAGCTTCTGTGCAGTATCACTTTGCATAAGAGCCATTGTGGGACCCAAAACAGAGAAACGCTATTGCTGAGGATGCCGATAGGCCCTGGGGTTAGGCTACCTGAGATCAAACCCCAGTTACCCCTCCTAATGGTGTGACTTGGGCAAGTTACTCAACTTCCTAAACCTCCTCTTCTCAAGACAGGACATAATGACAGAAGCTTAATTCCTAGGGTGATTGGGAAAATTTAGATGAGATATTTCATATAAAGCTCTTAGCTCAGTTCCTGGCACCAGATAAAAGGGTCATAAATGTGAATTATTATTATTGTTAATGCACTATAGTAAATCCTATTTTAAGGACCTATGGGATTTTATCAGTTTGTTCATTTATCACCTTAAAGGGATCATTTTGTGAAGGGGAAAAAAATTGTTTTGCAGAGTGAAAAATTGTTCCTAATTCATTGTGGTTATATATATAATTTTTGCCCAGAAGATAATTACATCAATTTCATTAATGTTTTACTAAAGATATTTGCACACACATAAACATATGTAAATATTGCATAAATTTATATAGGTATTATGTATGTTTTCCTTCCCTTGAATCAAATATCAGAGCTCTACAAATTGGAGCATCTATTGAAAACACACACACCAATAATTTTTTCTTCTCTAAAGATCCCAAGAGGAAAAATAAAGTCATGTAATAATCAGCAGCTTCCTGTACTATACTCCCCCAGGCTTCTTTCAGGGGACAATGTTGAGTGACTTACATGTATCATCACCATTACTCCATAGACAGTCTCAGCCTAGATCTGCCCTAACAGATCCAGTCACTGTGAACAAAGTCTCCTAGGGTTACCAGCCCAAATGCGTAGAGTTCCACACTCCCCTAAATGCTCAGAGCATAAGTCATTCCTTCTGTTGACTTGAACTTATTCACACTAACCAGTTATTCCTTGACTAAGCAGCAATCCATCAAAGGATTAGTGAATCTTTCTCTCCATATATTGTATATATATATATATACACTAGGGCCCCAGTGCACAAATTCGTGCACCTTGAAAGGAACTGTGGGCCGCAAGGCTGCGGTGGGCATAGGGGCAGGTCCTGGCCCATCCTCTGTGCCCCCACCAAGCCCCTCCCACCACAGCCTCCACCCCCAGTCCCTTGTCTGCTGGCAGCCCCACTACTACTGCCACTGCTCTCACACACTGAAGGCCCCGGCCCCACTCACACTCGTTGATGGCATGGAGCAATTGGGGCCGGTGCCAGCAGTGAGTGTGAGTGGCAGCTGCTGCCAATCATCCCTCAGAAGCATGGAGAGGTGGAGAAGCCCTCAGGGGTAATCAGGGCCAGCAGCTGCAACTTGCACCCACTGATCATGGCAAGTGATCCGGACTGGCACAAGGCACCGGCAGTGGGTGCGAGCAGTGGCTCTGGTGCCGGCTGCTGGTGTGAGCGGGGCTGGCACCAGCAGCAGGTGCAAATGCCTGTCAGGACCACAGCACACAGAACAAAAAATTTTCAGTAACCACCAGAGGCTTGCCCCAATGACAATGACCAGAGCCCCGCTTTGGTCTGGCACCTCTGCTCACCTGCTTCACCATCCCGCCACAGCCAACGCCCACCATTTTCTGTACATGCCCCTGGTGGTCAGCACATGCCATAGCAACTAGTTGTTCAGTTGTTCCGGTTGTTCTGCCATTTGGCCTGTTTGCATATTAGCCTTTTATTATATTTGATGTGATGCAGAAATGTAATATCCCATACAGAACAATGTAATATCCCATCTCACACACCTTTACCTCTTTGGTCATGATTAGAGCTCAGCCACTCTGGGTGATAAGATGCCGTCTTGCTTGGGTTTTGTTTTTATTTTGTCCTACTTTTAGATCTGTTTGTTTGCCTAAATACAGATGCCAAAATACAGATGCCATGTTGTCTTTCCTTTGACTTCCTTACATACCTAGTAATTCTCCCAACTTTCTTGTGTCTGACTTTTACCATTCCATTTACATTTTCTTGTCAACGTGTTTCCCTTAGAAAAGGCACACACGATGAGGTGCAACCAATAAATAAGTAGATAGGTGAGAACCAATTTCAGTTGACACATATTCTATATTCAACTCTGTGTAGATCATGTCACATCAGTGAGGAGGCATTTTGTTCAGGACCCACCATCAATGCCTTTGTGTAGGACTTGAGGGGACAATAAGTAGTTCTTCTTCACCCTCCAAGTCAAGATCCACTTAAGAGAAAGAAAGAGGAAGAGAAGAGAAAGCAAGAAGAATAGCAGGGAAAGTGAGGGAGGAGGAGCTAGGAGACGAAGCTCTCTCACCTACACGAGTAAGAAAAATTAAAGATATTCAAAACCTCAAAGCCTTGTCTAGTTCCAACGTCAAATCCTATCTGAAATGGTTCCTGCCTACACCTAACTCATCCACTCTGACTGGATTACTGCACACACTCACCCATTGCCGGATCTGGCCAATATTGGTGAAAATCAAGAATGTTTCATCCTTTAAATAGGTCG